AGTCTGGTGTGGCGGATGGAGGGGGGGCGGGACCCCGCAGAAACAGCTTTGTGTTAAGGAAACTCAGGTGCACGCTGGGTAAAAAGTTTAGGCCAGCAACCGGTGGCCCGAAAGCTGATATTTCCCAGTGCTTTCTCACCCTCACGAAGAACGGCAATAAGTCCTTCAGCTTTCTCCCTGGTCTTGGAGAAGAAAGATGGAGAAGCGGTGGATGCTGCACTCTGACGTCCATCTGTCCTAGCCAAAGTGCTCCATCTTTGAGGATGATGGGCCTCAGAGTTCAGGGTTTCTGGTTCTGCTCTAAATAAAGGCTGGCAGAGAGCAGAGCTGCCAAACTATTTTGGCCAGGCTTCACCAGGGTGCCTTTTTTCGCTTGGCTGTGTCTGTTTGTTTTTATTTTATATGTGTTTTGTGATGAGTGAAGGGTGATAAGAAACCCAGGCTCACTTGCTTTACTCTGGCTAGGGTCCAACAGAGTGTTTCTACAGGACTGTGTGGTTTTCAAAGCTGGTGACCTCCCCCACTTCTTCCTGAAGCGCTCCCTAAAATCTTGCCCCCGGGGGGGGGCGGACAGGTGACCCAGCGTTTTCACACCACAGAGGGCTGGAGAAAGCCAGGGAGAAGTTGAAGTACACATTGTCCTGATGCTTGGACGTTGGCTCTTTACTAGACCCCCTCCCCCAAAGATCCATCAACGAGAGACAAGTGGCGCCAACTAGTGGCGAGAAAGGGGGAAGCAAATGCCAAGTGTTGGCTTGGAGGGGGTGGAGCCAGTTGGCCACCACGCCGCCTAAGGCACACATTGGCGTAAGCTGGGATCAGGAATGACGGCAGAACAGCCCAAAGGGAGCGATCAACGCCCCAAGAGTCTCAGTGCCCTAGCTGTGGAGGGATTCCACCCTTTGTGACATAGGTGTCGTGGCTCACCGTGGCCTGCAAGACTGTGACAAGGCAGCATTCGCTTTCCTGGCGATGCTGTTCTTTTATCATTCGAAATCCAGCCGTTGTGTGTCAAAACAGAAAGCCAAAGTTGGCCAGGGGTCTGAACTTCCTTTCTCCCAGGGAACGCGGCACATGCCTGATGCCAAATGGAACATGTAGAGGGATTATTTTGGGGGGGGAAAGAAAAAGAAACAGAGAGAACACTGGAGATGGGATAAAGTATTTAAATCAAGGGTATTCCTGAAAAGCTGCAGGGGTTGAGGCAGAGAAAGCCAGCAGGGAGCAAATGATTCTCTGCCTCTTAACCGGACGCTACACACAATTATACTCAATGGCCTTCAGCCAGGTTACCTGTGGGCCGTGATCTTGTTAGGTCTTCGTAAGCTAAGTGGCACAGAAGATGGCACACTTTGGCTGAGACGAGAACGGTAGGATTCCCACAAATGAATTCCTAAGCAGCTCAAGGTGTGTAAAGGTAACACAGCTTGGAAGTGGTTTTACTACTCTTCCTTCTTGAGTCACAGAGGTCCTGGCCTCCCTGAGCTGCCCCCGAGCACCACGGCTGGCGTCAGAGGCTGGCAGGGTGAGGCGTCCGCCTTGGCGGGTCAGGTGGCTGCCAGTCTCTCGAGCCTCGTAGTCTTGCTGGCTTCGCCTGCCACCCTGTGAGCCAGCAGGAACAAAAGGACAGAGAAGGCATTCCTGCCAGATGCCAGCCTCCCTGCTCCCATGGCGGTCGGATGGGGTTGGGAGGGATGGGCAGGCAGGACCCAGTGGGAGTGGAAAAACGCCCAGGCAGCCGCACGGCCCGTGGTGAGCAGGAGGTGTTTTCCATGAGGCTGTCTGGTCTCCTCCAGATGGCTTGGACTGCAAGTCTCCCCGTCGTTGCCCACTGGCCACTTCTGTCCCAAGACACCGGGGTGGGGTGGGGTAGGGGGAACAGCCCCTGGCACGACCCCCTTTATACACCAATTCAACCAACGGAACACGTGAGAAGCACATTGTGTTGGCCTACAAGGTGAGGGATGCTACTCTCAGCTCCATCCAGGGTCCCAAGAGCCGATAAAGGGAAGGCGAAGTGCCTCCCCTTTACAACCCTTCCCTCTCACCTTGTTGCCAAACACCTTCGGCCTCCAGCCTTCCAGGTGCGTAACAGCTCAAACCTTCTGCAACGGATCCACGTGGAACATGACGAGGGCGATGGGCCGTTGGTGGCCATTCAGGCCATTCTCGTAGCCCAGTCATTATCAACTGGCCAGGGAGACACGTCTGGAGAGCAGATGCTGCCCAGCCCATCTCCTCTTTCTTTCCTCACCTTCTCCTTTTGCTTTGTTTTGCTCTCTGCCTTTAGCAAACCGTGAGGAGAGTGATGGGCTGCCCTAAAAACAAAACAAACCACCCTCCCTTCATATAAAAACTGCCGGAGAGCTCCGCACTTTTTGGTATCTGGCTGCAGAGCATCCTTGACAAGGGCTGGACATGATGATCCAGAGGGTGCCTCCAGCTCTGCTGTTCTAAAATTAGGCTGCTGGCTGAATAGCTCAGTGGGTTAGGTCTCTGGCTGCAGAGCCAAAGGTTGGGAGTTCAATTCCCCCCCTCCCGGGGCCTCTTTGACAGGCTGGACTCAATCATCCACAGGGTCGCTTCCACCTCTGCAGCTCTAAGGTGGTGATGGTGATGATGATGATGATGAGGTGAAAAGGGGGGCACTCACTTATTACATCAGGATGCCCTACAGTGTAGAATCTAGCTATAGGTTTTCCCTCTTCCTAACAGAGGAACCTTAAGACGGGACATTAATTCAGGTTTAGAATCGAGGGCCGCTCTCCTTTCAAATCTGCTCCAGGCAAAATCTTACCGAGCTGCGAGTTGGCCTAAAGTGAAGGTGACCGGGGGGGGGGGGG